ATATTATAATATTATATTATCATATGATTATATGATATTTAGAGGATATCAAGTCTCAAACTTATGTTTCTTATTTCAGTTACCATAAACCGATAGTTTCAATGAAAAAATTCCTGAATAACCTACATTTATTGTAAGATAATAAAAATATTTTAAACGATATCAACTTCTCATTTATTCAATAAAAGAAAAAAAAAATACTGCATAAATAATAAATAAATAAATAACTATAATTGCATTAGTTGATAAAAAATGCTATGCAATAAATTTAGCTGTATTTTGAACGTTTTCTCTGTGATTATTGCTTCTGTCCGTAATGAATTACCGACATTATCTACAGGTACTATGAACTCCGACAAAATCTAATTATGATACTCGTATTTATCCTTTTAAAAGTAAAACAATACATAAAGATGAATGCATTGAATAAAAATGTTGTTTCTTTTCAAAATGCTATGTATAAGCTTATCGTGGTATACATTTCTTAATAACACGGCTATAGGTAAACGCGATAGGGTTATGTATACCGCTTCTATCTCATACACGGTATTATCTACACTCTACTAGAAGTCGAGCACGTGCAGGTGCAACTCGTGGAATCGAACCATATGACCCGTGCATAATCAAGGGAAGCAGCTCCTCCGGGCCCACTTCTGTCTACTAAGTGATCAGGCTTTTAACAAATTCAACGGCTCATCCATTGCAAATTGGTGTCGAACGAAATAGCGAGCGAAATCACGAACGAAAGAGATTTTAGTGAATTACACTTAACAAAAAGTCCAATCAACTAATTTGATCAACAAATCTGCAATCCCTTCGTGTTGTAGATTTCATATCATAATCACTTTATATCAGGTGAACCGAATAAATTCTCGCTTGACTACTTTAAAATAGTCTTAATAAATATCATAGATAGTTCTATTTTTATAATTAACCAAATAAAGTCGAATATTTTATTCAAAAATAAAATGTATTTCTAACCATCTTATGTTGAAAAAAAAAATTACTTCATCAGGTGCATTTTGTTACCATAAAATATCTAGCATTCTCCTAGAAGTCACTATGAAAAAAAGTGTGCGTGTACTTATGTACACGCGTTAGAAGTTATACTTCTTTGGCGTATCAAGATAAAAATCTTTTCAAAAATTTTATCTTTTTCCTTATTCTACGTTTGTAGAAAAAACGACACTAACAATAGAAAAAAGGTATTGAATACATTGAAAGCTTTATTATAACGCATTATCTAGTTGAATAAAGTTTATTTAAATAGCACAAAATAAATATCGTGTATATTAGTCAGTTCTCACGCAAACATACGTATATGTCTAGCTAACTTCATCGTAAAAATTTACTCTCATAATTTTTCCCTATCGCGCCAAAAGTATAACTTCAAAAATTAAACGTTCTAAGTTACATTACTCTAAAGACATTAATTTCCAACAGATGGTATTTATTGCTGTCCGACATCTCAATACTTTCCTCTAATATTATATCTGTTATTTATAATAGGTTTTAAAATATTTATCAATAATATTTATATATTGTTGGTAAATATTACCACAAGAAAAAGAAACAAAGTTCTCATAAGTTAGGACGCAGGGCAAAATTAAGAAATTTGGGTTACTTTAATCTCTAAAATACAGTGTTTTGTGTTTTGTGACAAGCAATGCTTCCTAAAATCTTACAGCATTAAGTGTTTATCTAGCATACAGTATAAAGCAAAGCTCGAATAATTAATGATATGGCATTTCTCATGAACAATAATAATCTTTAGATTAGTTCATAAGAAGCTTTAAGACGTTTTCAATCGTTAAATGAGTTAGAGTGTAGCACTATCATTCTATGTTACTAGATAACTACATTATGTATATACTAGTATACTTACAGTACTATATCAATTAAATTTTATCACAAGGCGTTTCTTCAGTTCAGAGCTACCAGACGAGTGTAACATTTACGAAACAAGGTAAGAGCCGAGGGGTTATTAAATAGGTTCATGGTTCCATAGCTCAAGCCAGGTGCGGTAAAACGGACAGTTGTCTGAGCAGAATTCAATTCTACCTTCCTTCAACTTATTTAATAACCAAGACAACTCTTCAAACGAATTGACGCAAGAACATTGCCAAACACTAACCTCGTCAAACAGCTCTCAGGATCTTGTTGAATGACGTTGGTGTTTCTATTCTACAGGGCACTGCAACAAAAAGAAATCGTATGTTAACGACGTCCGTGATACTTATATTGTGTACTTCACCAAAATGACAAGTACTCTAACTTCATGTGTTCACTACCAATTATTTATTACTTCGTAACATATAACAACAAAGCGTCTTAAACTGATTATTTCCAACCTCAAAGTATCACAATTGTACTACAACGTGTAAATACATTACACGTTGTAGAGCCAGTAGGCCGGCTTAAGCCGGGGAAGTACCTCGACCTCACAGGAGATCGGTGTAAAGTTAAAATATTCGTACTTTTGCCTTTCGTCCGTTGACTGAGACTACCGGAAGCTGCTACATCCTATCTTCCCTACCCGGGATACAAGTTGGGAAACTCCACTGTACCTCGGGCCGTAATTTGTGTGTATGTCAAAGCGGATTCTATGTTCTCGTCGTCTCAGCAAAATAGTTCTTGAAAGTATTGTGATATACCCGTCGTCGATATGGTTGCATGTAAATAGCGACGACACTCCTCGCGGCTACGCTTCTATAGTTCCCGAGACAGCACGACTGATTTACGAGACTGATTCAGGTGGCTACAGATTCGGTGTTACAACATATCCTATGTGCAGAGATCGTTATTCCTGGACGTTTTCACGCCCATCACACCGAACGGCTCGGATCGTGGCCGGAGCGATTCAATGTGATGATTGGATTGTCATACATCCGGGCGAAAACCCTGGAGTTGGCCTTCGGAGTTTGTCCTGGTCTTTTGCGGCGCTTCTAAACCTTGGGTATTCTCCTAAATTCTTGGTAGACGGCTTTTGAGCACCTGATCCCTGAAAAGGTGAACGCTGAGATCGTTCCACACATGACAGGCTTATGTGAGGTGGGGGGGCTCGTACCCATTAAAAAACCTTCGGTGGCCATGACGTTTTCGCCCTCGGAGTGTGACTGACCAGTGATAGTTCAAATAGGTATTCCTGCAAGCGCAGTCATCAGAGCCAGCATCGTCCCTCGGACTGCCACGCAGGCCAACAGTGCGCGTAAGTTCGAGGAGACCCGGTCCCCTCCAAAATGGTTGCGAAATATGGCAAAAGCCGCATCCAATCCATTCAGGTATTCATTAAGGCATCCGTGACCGACAAGTGATTGCGTCAGTGGCATACCCCGTCGCACTTAGCCAGGCTATGAAGCAGGTTTATTCGCTGGCGCGAGTTTTGTGATTCTTCTAGCCATTCGCATCAAGCCTTCAACGCAAGTGTGAGCTCTTGCTTCCGCGCCTCTCCCACATCCATGGGCTCGGTAGCATACTGCGAAGAACGGAGCTGAGTATAAACTCGCGCATTCACATCTGCCATTATGTCCAGTATAGGAATCCGATATCCTCTTGTGATCCTTCGCTACGGACTAATCTTAGCTCAACTACGTCGGACTCCCGTTAGTCTATACAGGCGCACCATTGTCATAACGGTTGCGTTTAATTTCACGGTCACTTGGAATAGAAAGCTTAGGTGGCTTCTAAATATTTTGGAGACTTGAGAACCAGAAATCCGCCGACTCATCGTCTGCTACTCATCACCATGGTTGGAATTTTTATAATTGTAAGATGGTCTTCTAGGAAGCATATGCACTTACCCGGCTTTTATTACTCTGCCACAGCCATGTCGGCTTACATAGCATTTTTAAAGAACGAACGAATTGAATGAATGAATTACAACGAACTATTTATCGTGATTAGACAAGTTTCTATTAATGCTTTCAACGTTGTGATTATAAGCAAAAAGAATTGTAAGTTTTTAATTTTCCTGTTATTACATATGATGAAAATCGAAGTAATAAAAATAAAATAAGTATTTGGTTAAGTAGTTAGTAACAGAAAAACAGAAATAAATATAAAATTTAAGACCAAAAGTATTATTTTTTTAAAATTCTCACTTTTTTTAAAAAATAATACTTTATTTATTGGTAATTTTAAATGCTGGTAAAATGCAGAAACCATTAAAGAAAAAGGGCGACAGAAATGGGCGACCTAGATAATTACTGGAGAGTTGATCGAAAATTTAATATCGGTATAAATTTTCAGTACGATTTTATTGAAATCAATGTTCTCCATTGGTGGATATACAACGTCGTTTTAATTTTTTAAGGCTAAAGATTTTGTTAATATAGCAACTGCCGCTTTTTGTAAGTTAAATAAAAATAACCATGGAAAAATCGTTACTTAATACAGCTGGTCTATTTTCTAAAGTAGATTAAGATGCCTAAATGATATTCTTTAGAATACGCAGGTTCGTGTAAATTTTAGAAAATTGCAGGATTATATGTGCAACATAATTAGTTTTGAAATATGTACACATTTTTATCTGAAAACGTCTATACAGGGTGGCTTTTCTAAAGGTGCCCAAATTCACACAAGACATTCAGACTCTATGGTATAATCGTTTAATGAAATAATTTTATTTATGATTTATTGCTAACCTTAAGAAAGAAAAAAAGGTAATAAAGGGCCGACTTGACATTCCCTACTAGGCAACCCAGGATGTAGTGAACGCTTATGGCAGCAAGGGATGCAAAAATTACTACAAATTGGATAAGGAGTTCCAGAGATATATAGCTTTGATAGAGATGCATAGTTTATTGTTAAAAGTTGAACGGAGAACGGAGTATCTCTATAATTACCTATGTAATAAACCTATTTTTTAAGATAAAAAGGGGAAGAAAAACATTTCATGTTATGCATAACATGTAAATATAAATGAGATAATGTTTTGTTTTGAACAAACCTGAATTACTAAACTTAAATAATTCTCTTTTGTTTTAGAATGCCCTCCAGAGATGTGCATCGAAGAAACACAAACGGACCCGCCGGCGCCGAATACGAGTAATGTCTTTTATCTATATATTCCTTATTAGTATTCAAGCAAACGATTTCATTGCGGTGGAGCTATTTAGCGGTTTCTGCTGTTACACGAATGAGCCCATTCGTCCGGGAAAGTTCACGGGCACAGAACGCCTACATGGTTTTAGCAATGTTATTGAAAAAGTAGCAACACATTATCATAAAAATTTCAAAAGTAATAAAAATACAAATAAAAAGAATGTTTTTAACTTATGAAGAAGCGGTATTTGAAAAAAATAGTACACGAAATAAATGTATTAACTAGTAATATATTTAACCTTTGTTCATCTCGTTTTACCATTTTTAACAACCCTTTTGTCTCAGTATTGAAAAACATTTAGCACAAATATTTCTTTTGACTGAAGCCTCATCAGATAAAAGAAATAACTTCCATTCTACATTAATACAAGTAAATTTTTTGTATTAACGAAAGTTAAAATCGACTTCTAAATATCTCGCTTTTTGTTCGTTTTATAATTGATTTTCAGGAGTTCCCTACTATATCTCCTATTCTTTTTTTAAATAGGTGAAGAGAGTGATGTGCCAGAGAGTGAAGGCAGACTCTCAATCGAAAGTTCCCCTATGCGGCGTCGCAGGGGTGGAATTCTCAAAGGAGGAAGACTTTGGAAATCACTTGACAACGATAAGGAGTATAATGATCAGGTAAACAATATATTTAGCTTTGGTCGGAATTTGCACACTGTCTCTCTTTTGTACTGTGTATATTCAACCCTAGGACACCAATTTATTTAAAAGAATAAATACTTCAAGTTTCTTGACCATAACCGAACAGAAAGAGTTCTGCAATCCGAATATCAAACGCGTGTAAAACTAAATATTACAAGAACTCCTTTGCAGTTAAGGGCATCTACTTATGGAATGAACTTCCTGAGCAAATTCTTCGTACAACGACGCAACACAAATTTAAAAGTGGCGTAAAAAGTCATTATCTATTCCTCTGTAATCCATAGTTTACATTGTCTCTATATTCAGATTTAATTATATTGTTCCTTCATGTGTTCATATTTATTTATGTTTATGTATGTTAATTTTACTTTATTATCAAGTACGTTTATTAAGCATCCCACCTCTCACTATTTATAAGTTTAATTTTACTATACTCACTTTGTCAGTAAAAGATCGCTCTTTAGCAATTAGACCACCTTATGTACCAAAATTTTAAGATTTATTTTATATCAATTGTATTAAATCATTTGTGGTGTACAATAAAGTATATATAAATAAAAATTCTATAATAAAAATTCTGGCCAGTTCGGATACGTCTCTACACAGATGTCATTAGTTATGATAAAGGGCTCTATCCTTGGCCCACGAGCAAAGGCATGACCCGTGAGTATGGGATGTTTCCGACCCTCCTGGCTGTGGATATCGGGGCGTAACTCAGATTCCCTCTGTACAGAGGAGGCCTTTGCACGGCTGTGGTACATTTATAGGCTGTTGCTTTACTTTTTTACCTTGCTTTATTACGCTAGTAATAAGTAAATTGTCATTACATTAGAATGAAGATCAGAGATCAACGACCACTGCTAGTGACGAGGACGGATCCGTTACTCCAAGGACTGTGCGCTTCGTAGAGCGACCCAAGGAGTCCAGTGAAGATGAGATGATCTCAATGAACGAGGCTAATCCCGTGCAGACGTCAGAAGACGAAACCACTCCGCCGAAAGAGAACTCTACCGCCCACAGGTGTCATTCAGACAGATTTAAATAACATTAGTAATCAATGTAATATTATCTATAACACATATCTATCACATTTTCTATATAGCAAATTTTACAATCTGTTAATATTTTATTTCAATTATTTGTCAAAGTTACCGTTGTATTATTTCGATTTATGTATAGTATCCCCCTTTATTGTTTTAGATTTGAAACGCCATTGATTCTCACAATTCAAACGCCGAAAGCAAACTCTGCTGTTCAGCAGTTATTTAATAGCAACCGACCACCGCCGCCAGCCATAGAGCCACAACTAATTACCTCTGAAACACTCAGGTTCGTAATATTTCAGCTTATATCTAAATAGCAATCTCCAAATATATAAAATTGTTAGATGCTGTCCAATTTCTTACGAAATTCTTTAATAAGTTTTGAATCCAGACTTACATTAAAATGTCGTCGGAAAAAGATTTGCCGTTGATTAGAATGATCAATCTTTAAACTACTCACACATTTCACAGTTTTACTGTGCACGGTATATTTAGGTAAAGACCTATTAATATATATATATAAATAACATGTCAAAAATTTTATGGTATAGCTTGGCTAATAACGTTGTTAACATACTCACGCCACGAGGCTAAAGTTGAAAAAAAAAAAGACCCTGATCACGCTCACTTCATTACTTTTTAGTTTTTCAATTTTTAACCAAAGATGTTCAGTCGATTTTACCAACATGTTGTTTTTATTAAGTTTTCATACATTTGATTTTGTTTTATCTTTAATTTTTGAATAATAATTTTGTCCACAACAGAGCTTGGGACGCTGGTGTAAGACCAAAGGCAGAGGACGCTGCTGTGCGCCGGGTCGCAGAGAGAAACGCTCTCAGGTGCTCACTGTTGCGTAGCGAGGCTAGGAAGAAGCAACAGGCAAAGGTTAATTCAATATGCGTTTATGTAATATATTTATTAATAATGATCTCTCTAGGGCAAAGGTGTGCAACGAGTCAAATTTATTTAAAAGAATAACAAGCTGCTGAGTTCATTAAAGTTTACCTATTGATGAATTTTCCAAAACCTTCCAAACTAGCTCAGATATTTTTAAATACTATATAATTTAATATTTTAAATATTAAATTATGTATAAAATACTTTTTAAATATTAAAACACTGAAGGAACAGTTTGATTTGGTGTTAATTGCTCTTGTATTGCTTGCTCGCATTGGATTCACCGGTATTTCAGTAATTTATAATGTAAATAACTGTGTCAAATTGTTTGGTATTTATTTACTCTCCAGAAGTTATATTTTTGAAATAGTCATGCGAATTATTTTAGAAAAATGTCTTTTACATCGCTTTTAAATTTTCATTTACACACTATAAAAACAAATAATGAGCGTAGAAATATTTGGAATAATAATAAGATTTACTCGCATAGGCGTATATAGCAGGGGGCCGGGTGGGCCATGCCCACCCCAGTATCTTCTAGTGCCCACCCCAGGATTTTGGGGTACTGATTAGAAATTCTAGGCTGCCTAAGAAACTTCATAAAGAATCATGTTAATCAAATAATTATCCACAGCCCAGAAATCTATGTACATACTTAGTTTTTATTACGTATTATTTTACAATACATTCCGTTTATTTACTTGTGATTACACAACGTACTATCTACTAATTAGTTAATACTACTATTATAAATTAATATAAATTATTAACGATAATGAACTGTTACTGCTACTTCTTTAAAAAGGTGCATAGTGTTCAATTTTTTTTGTAAAGGTCCAGGCCCACCCTGAAAAATAGACCTAGATACGCCAATGTTTACTCGTAGTTGCGATTACAAAATTATCGCTAACGTAAGAATTACCACCAAGCAACTACCTATATTAGACGTCAGTTTTCAATTCGATGGAGTAATTTATATAAAAATTTTAAATAAAATTATAGCACGTGCCGTTAGTCATTAACACTAGATATTTGCATAATAAGGTCAAAAATAAAAACAAATATTTAATTTGGACCCGTGGTTATTGTCACTCGTTTGAGGTTATCGAAGAGATATTGTATATATAGACGTGCGTTTGATATGAAAATCTAGACTTTTCCGATAAAGTTCTGTTTTTAAAAACTGTAAAGAACTTCCATAAAGTCCTTTCATTTTCAGCTCGTCTACTACTATAATTAGATATGCATGATACACATGCACGTGGGTTAGAGATCCCAATCATCTAGCCCTCACCTTAGAATATCGGTAATCTGGGCAATGCACGCCAAGGGCGTCTCTGCCACTCGTTTTCGCGATATAAAATTTATCCGTTATCTTCAACGATATTAACTCCTTTAATTACCTAAATAATATCAACCCTTTCGTTTCACGCTTCACAAATCCTCAGGAATTATTCAATACTGTCTCGCTCTAAAATGTTCATTAATTACAAAATACTTTAACTGCTCTATTCAATTCAATAAATTATTTCAATCGGCTATCACTAATTTTGTATTTATTGACGCTTCATTTCCAAGCGTATATAAGTCCAATCATGTGTAATAAACAACTAAGATGTTACCATTAACAAAATAGAGTTTGTGTTTTATGAATGATTATAAGCGCAAGTAACCCAAAGTAAAGTGTTGGCAAATCATACCGAAATATACTTCAGCATGAAACAGAATTAAACAAATTCAAATAAATGCGTCATCTAAAACATACAGTTCTTCTGTAATTCATGGAACCCATAAGTGGCATGCGCGACAACCTTTTAATAAAGCTATATCCATCTTATCAATGATGTGAAATCTAATCAAAACCAATTCGAATTTAGCTAAAGTATATCGATCTACAGCAAGAAACAACCTCACTGGCCGAGCGTATACGCCTCCTCACTTGCGACGTCGACGACGAGCCCGAAGATCGTGCGTCGCCAGCCAGTGTCAGTGTGGACAAGTTTTCGAGCAGCAGTGACAAATCCAGCGAGAAATCGTTCAACAGCATGGATAAGAATTGCGAGAAAGCCTTTGGGAGCGCTTCGTCGAGTTCGTCTTCCTCAACCTTGTCCGCACCTGTGCCTGTGCGTCAGCAGCCGCCAGACTTGGGCGACGTTCATCAACCAAAGGTAAGTATGTGGAAATTCGAAACCATCGTAAAACTCCAAACTAGGACATTCCGACTTCCTGGTATTCTAACTATTCCGGTCATAAGTTCTGTCACATATAACGAAAAATCTCATCGATTCATCAAACGATATAATGAAAACCCTGCCCCAGGACCAGCGCGAATAGAAACAAAATTCCATGCATAAGCAGAAACTGTTGGCCCTTCAAATGGGGTTAAGGAGAACCATTATGAAAAGGATTTTGAATGAAGAATGCAAACTTCGAGCACACAACAGTGGAGAAGGCAGCCGTTATTCATCCTCAGTTATCGTTTGTCTAGGATTTTCATATTCGGGCTTAACTTAAGTATATTTCTGTGAAAAAGGAGCAGAAAGGATTGCAGTTGTGTCGCAAAATACAGTCCTCACATCCTTGTGAAACCTCTATCTCATTTCATGTTCAAAACAATGGAAAAACTATGGACAGCTCAAAGACTTATTTTGGTTTTGAGTCATTCCAGGCATCCTTGATAGAAGCCGCCGCCGATATTGATAGGCCTCATACTCCTATACACGACAGGTCGCACCGGTTGAAGGCTTGTTTCCAAAATCACGGGAGTCATTTTGAATAAGCTTAGCTTAAGTTTATTACTTAGGTTATAATAATTAAGGTTAAACAAACATGTGTCAATCATTTCGCAATTACATATGACCGAACTTGTGGCCGGGCTAGGTATCAAGAGTATGTAGCAGATTGTGCGCAAAAGTTACGCGAATACATTTCCCACTCCTTTTTCCATAGCATCCCACTCAGTAGCAGTCACTCGCATTCTTTGTTCGCGCAGAGAAGAAATTGGACGATTTTCCATTTACGACTTTTCGCCTGATGCGTATGATTATTCACAGAGTGAGTACGTTTACTATCAACATTCGCATCTCCACTTCCTTTATACCTTTATAATTTTAACTAATGATTTCATCACTGGTCATTTCCAATAAGTTATTTTTAGCTGCTACTAATATGATTAACAGGGTTAAGTAATTCTATCAACATACTTTATGTTTTAACTTTATTGTTTTAATTCAGCTATTACTTTACTGAATAAAGTCTATTTGTATTATGAATATTTATTACAATATTATCGGAATTATATCAATTGATACATATAGTTTAAGTATATGCCTTATAGGTTAATAAACATTGCGCTGGATTCAAATTCTTTTTTGAAACAATAAATTGAAAACTTAAATTGAAAGCTCAATATAACAGGATTTTTATGAAAGCTTTAATAACAAATTTGGGAGCATTTAATAATATTCACTATTTAACAAGATATCTCTAGTAAAATCTAGTAGAATTTAATTTATTTATTGCAATTAAATTCGACGGGAAATACTGAAGCTTTTTAATTTTCCGTCTGCTTCGATTGCAATAGAATCTCGGAGAAATTTATTGAATTTGCTTGAAAATGTGGTCTTGACCACTTTGAACGAACCTTTACTCCTGTTGATTTTCTATTGAGTTCTATTTGAAATTGAGAGCAATTAAAAATTAAAATTGGCGATTTAGCCATTTATTCCCTAAACTTAGGCTAATCTCTAAAAGAGACAAGTAATTACAAAACAGCATGGAATCAAACTGAAAGTAAAGGTAAAGTAACAAAAAGGTAAAGTAAAAAAAAAAACAAAAGTAAAGTAAGCAATGGCTATGGAATATGGGGTGGAAAAACAAACACGAATACCAATTCGATAGTTTTGAACTTGAATCAGGAAAACGTGGACGAACTTTTCACGAGCAACTTTTCGAATAAAGTATTACTTATTCGGATAAAAAACTGCAAAATCGGATAAGGCACTTATTCGAATTGCCTATTTAACACCGCAGCAAAATAAAAATTAAAATAACCGTCATATTTTACTTCAGCAGATTAAGGAAAAAAGGTTTGAATGTAAGGGGGACTGAATTGTGGTAGGGCACGTAACAGTATTCGCTGTTGTACTGATGTGCAGGTCCGTTCCGATATGTACGACCTGACAGAAAACCGGTATAAAGTGGATGTGTATACTTCTGCATTTCGTCTGGTTAGTGTGGTAGCTGGGGCCCACTTTATTATAAAGTAGCAACGCATCTGCAACCCTACGGGTGTTGCAAATGTCCATAGGCGACGGTTATCACTTAACATCAGATGAACCAGCTCGCCAGCTCGCTTGCCACCTTCCCACATAAATATAACGGACACTCGAATATGTCCTGAAATATTTATTTACTTATAGCGGCCCGTACCGGCTTCGCACGGGTGCAATGTATTACACATATAAACCTTCCTCTTGAATCACTCTATCTAGTAAAAATAGAAATGTGTTGTTTTTAGACTTTTTCAGGCAATTTTATTTTACACACTTTTATCAACGTGCAACGAGCACTTTTTCCCTAAAAATGTACTGAGCATTTGAAATAAATGGAGCTGAGTACTTTAACTTCTTGCTGAACGGTCTAGTATGCCGATTAAAAACTAGATCAAAACAATCCAATCGATGTATTAAGCAAATTAAATTTTTATATAATCTAAAATAATGTAATGTAAAGTTATGTTATTACAGACCACAATGCGTTTTTTCTTTTCGTTAAAGGGCCGAAGACTAATCAGAAAGAGAGCGCCTTTGAAACAAGATAGCTGCTCTAAAAGTATTGAAATCCACCGGTGACCTAGCTTCTATTTCCCGTATCCCTTAACAATATAATTTATTGTGGTGAATGTGGAGAAATATCACAAAGGCCGCTGAGATATTGCAACTTTACAGAACGTCTATAAAAGATTTATGTTCCAATTCCTGCTATACGTGGCAACTCGTTAAAACGTTTTGTAGCCTTACAACATTGCTTACTTATGCTGACCGAAAGACTTATTCGCCGATATTTCAACCGTTACGAGATTATTTGGTAGGCGAAAAAGACCATGTTTCATCATTAGCGTAACTACCCAACTATATATATTACCAAACTTAAGACCATAACCACAATTTTTTTTCGTACAAATATACACCTTTAGAGTTTAGTTATCTACTGAAACTTCAATAATAACTCAAGGTGTAAAAAATAGTCATAAAATGACTTTCAAGGCATGCGCTGCGGAAACTTATAGGTACAACAAAAAATGTTCTACACCGTTAAAAATAAATAAAATACTTAGTTCATAAAACTAAAAAATAATATAAATAATGATTTGATTAATGAATCCATGCGCGGTTGCCAAGGCACTGGCTTGGGCGCCGGGGATTGGCGAACTTTTTCGGATCGATTTGGTTTGCCCACGTGAAATTTACGGATGTAAATCGCCCTTACACCCCATGATAATTTTATCCTACAGTAAGGGCAATGTTTTTAAAGGAAAAATACGTAAAAATAAACACTGACAATAAAAAATATAAAATTTTAGAAAAAAGTAATTTCTAAACAAAAAAACTACTACTGTAAACTCTACTGCACAAAGATAGATTTACTCTACATTTATCCCAAAAAAATAAATTTCCACCCTACAGATACCACTATAATTCTATAAATTAGTGTATGATCTGAAAAAATTTCAATATTATAAATTATTTACGAGTACAATTTTTAGTTTATTTATTTAGAAATATCTACTGAAAAAAATTATTTATTCGTAAAAATACGTTTATGTATTCGCGGTATTCAAAAATAAAATAGCAACATTCAAATGTAGACAGAGATTTCAAGTAAAACATACGACAAAGGTGATAAAGGTTTTGGCTGAATGATTTACGACGAAATGTCTTACGGTTGCTTTTTCGACAGCGACATTGTGATGGATGAATTAATTAATTTGTGCGAACGGAATTCGCAATAAGCTTACCAAAATACGTCCCATAGTATTGTAACGGAATCCCGCCCACGGCCCTCAACGCCCATAATGGAAACTACCGACGGAAGTGAAAACTTACAACTGCAATAACCCTTATTTTATCAATAATATAAATCACAACACTATTGTATTATTTACATTAAATTGAAATAAAAGTATAAAATTATATAGTATTTTTATTTTAAAATTCGCGACCATAATTGTGTCGAACAACTAACCTAGTCGGTTAGAGAGATCAAATATTAGAAAACCAAACGATATCAAAGTTTTAACCTCCTTTTTAAATGAATTATAGAACAAAGTGTTACGAGTAAAAACTACAAAGACGTGAACTTTGCATTAGTGAATGAGAACTAAATAAAAAATAAAGATGTCTTCACAAATATATCTTTTGAAACTACTAGGCATTTGCAACACTATCCCACAGAAGCAGTAGAATGATATTAAATTAAAAAAAAAAAACAACGGAAGATCTATGGGTCTCCTCAATATGAACAATTGACCTTTTAATCAGTGACGTTGCTTGTGCATTAAAGTCCAAATATTTAATGCCCAACTGTATTTCCAGCATAAGACTGGACAAATTAAGGTAACAAATATAAAATTTTTATACCGCGCCAATTTGGATTTTTTAAACGTAGATCTACAAATTATGCAGTAATAGAATTAGTATCGCAGATCCTGCAGTCTTGGGAACACTTCCATAACACTATTGGCGTCATATAAATAATACAATTCCTAGTAGAAAAATGAAATATTATGGTATTCGCAAATCTGCCATTGAAATTTTCCTCTTTTTTAACCGAATTCAAAAAAGAAAGTTTGTCAATTCGGTCGTATATATTTTTATTTTTTTTATGTGTGTTCGCGGATAACTTCGTCGTTTATGAACCGATTTTGATTATTCTTTTTTTGTTGGAAAGGATATATCTCATGATAAAGAAAATGATCTGATGATGGCATCCCAAAGAAATCAAGGACAATCCTCAAATGTTATAGGTATTAATAATGTTTTTCATATTAAATGAAACTACTTTACGGATTTTATCGCGTTTTTTATTTTAATTTAAATTCCCGACGTTTCGAACCCTTTCCAGCGTTCATGGTCACGGGACAGACTAAGTTGTTAGACGTCTTGAT